CTTTCTAAATTTTGATCTACCAGTTTCTTTTTCACAAATTTGTTGAAATATCCAGAGATTAATTAAATCAATTAATGAAAGGACTGCTGACTTTCCTATTAAAGACAAAGTCCATGGAACGTTCTACCCTGCAATGAAGAACTCACCTAAATAAATTATCTGCTAACATGGAAAATTAAAAAAAAACTCATCCTTGGTTGACTCTTGTATTTCTTCTGAAATACTCAGTGATATCTGTTTCATCTCTTGTGCCCTTCCAAGATAGTTTATATTTTTCCATATATGTGATCTATGACTTCCTCGACCATTTGATATTAGATTTCTTATCCAAAATACTGCGCTCCCAGTTTTGATTTCTAGAAGCTTCCCATGTGTTCTCCCAAGATGAATAGTCACTCTTGATCTAAAACAATCTAAAACAATAGTTCTTTCATCTTTTTTTACCCTGATAACACTTAGGGCAGGATGATAAAGTTGAGGAATGGGTGGCACGTCATCTTCTATCTCTAACCCTTGATTTTGGAAGCTAGTAAGATGTTGTCTATTGGGATATTTCTATCAGCTAATAAAGCAAAAAAGATCTTAGTTATAAAGTCTAAATTTAGAAATAAAATTGGTATATTTTTAGTTTGCCAGAGTACCAATTAATGTAATGGATAGATGTTATGGTTTCCAAAAAAGAGTCTTATGACATGATTAATGCCCAATTTTCCATTAGAAAAATGAGGTGTCAACTTTTTAAATACTTTTATGGTTGGGTAATGGAGAACATTTATTTATATTCCTTTTTACTAAAAGTCTTTCAGTTACTATAATAAAAAAATATTTTAAGTAGTTGGCTGCAACCCAAAATATGCAGAAAAAAGCTTTATTTTCTTTTTTCCTGCACTTCTTCCCACTCCTTCTTACTGTGCTTGTTGCAGATAGTAACCTGTTCTTCCAGTAAGCTGATGGATCCTTTGCTTGTACTTTTCTGAATTGTGGCTGTTACATTTAAGAAATTGGTTTGCTGTCCAATTTTCTTTCGCTTCTCTTGGGAAGATACATTGTTGATTACCTGCAGTTTTTCTTAGACACACTGTTTACATACTTTCTAGTTTCTAACACACTGGGATTTGTTTACACAACCTCTGTATATAGAGATAGAATATAAAACTAGATTATCTTGCAACTGTGTCGCAAGGGCAGCATTATTCAGTTGCAATTTTGGGGTTTTAATTTAGGACAAACACAGATTTTATAAGCAGAATGTCCTTAATTGAAGACCTTAAAGGACAATATTTAAGGCAGCAAATATCAGTAAATCTGACCAGAGAGAAGCCGCTCAGAGCAGAACAATGTCGGTCTAAATAGATTAATGACCTGATTCAGCAAATTTCATCTATCAATTCACTAGCCATGAATAACAATTTGGATAAATGTTGTAATAACCAAGTGTTCATTTTATGCTATTTAGCTGCATTGCTTATATAAATGAACAGCAAGTTGATATGCATAGTATATGAATTGGCTTAGTATATGAAAAGTGCTTAGTAGGTAAGCCCTTTTTGTATTTTTGAAACTATATTTAAATCTGTGCTATTGTAGAGTCACCATGCCAGTCTCAGTATATTCTGATGAGTCTGTAGTTTAATATTTTGAAACATATTCGTTTAGTTGTCTGTTGCAATGTGCATTTGGTAATACATGGCCCAATATTTCCTCAATTTCATTTAGTTATAGCCAGAGGAAGTTTAAATTACTGAGATAAGTTTATCATGACATGTATAACTTATTATATGTATCCCACTAAGCATACTTTTCTACCCATACATTCCAGAAACTGACAGTATATATTATCCAGTATATATTTCACTTGGAAAATAATTTTTCATTTCATTTCCCATTCAGAATGTAAAATATATAAAAATAATTAAACCCCTTTCCACAAAAATCTATATTACTATCATTTTGCATTTCACTTGGTTTTCTCAAATAAAATTCATTCATGTAGCTAAAGAATGTTTCATTGGGAACTCTAAGAGTAATCCATATTGTCAACTCATCCGGTGTGCACTATGTTGAAAAATAACTTGTCATTTTCTTACACTTATTTTGAAGATTTTTTGGTATTGTGTGCAATAGTTTAAGCATTGATCCATCCCTGTAATATGATAGTTGATACTAAGATGTGCATCAGGATCATTAAACCCCTATTCCTATGGCAAAATAGGAAAATTTAAGAAGGTTAATTTTCCCCTTGCAGAATGGTAAAACGCAGTCTATTCTGACTTTGATCCTAAAAAAAACCCTCCTGCCTGGATTTGTTTCTCTGGCATTTCAAGGTGCAAAGGGTGACATACAGTATGCATATATGCTAGTTGCATACATATATTTGTTTAAGGAAGCTTACCTAACTGCTAAATTTCCTTGTAGGAAATGTATCTTTTACAGAAGTTGCTCAGGTGAAATATTTGGGTATGTTGTGATTTCTTCTGGATTGTAATTTATGGAGCAGTTTTCAGTGACCTTTCTAAATTACTTACAGTGTGTGTATTTTTGGCTCTGAACTTGCCAATCATGGACATTTTTCTATTAATTTGTTAGTACTTATTACATATTTGAATCTTCAGACTGCCATAATCTTTCTTTGATAGTGTGTTTATAATTTAATAGTAGTAAAAGCTACAATATCAGACTCCAGATTTCGTCATGCCTCAAAAGGTATTTTGGATTAAAGTCAAAATTGTAGTGGATTTGGATATGAAATGGAGTCACATTTCACACTTTGAAAAATAGACTCCTATGAGATTTGATCAATCTGACAAATGATGGAAAGGTAAACATTCAGCTTTATTTTATAGACTGTCTTAAACATAGTTTTAATCTGTGGGTGTTATTACATTTCTAAAAAATGTTACAGCTAATCATTTTCTTTATGGCACCTTCCTCTTAAATGTCTGCAAGAAAGTTTCTAAAATAATCTTTTCCTCACAAATTTCTAAAAGGCAATAATAATTTAATACTGTCCTTTAAAATGGGAAATCAATATTGGACGATAAAATGTTAATTTAGTAAAGTCAGCCTTTGATGTTATAAGGCTAAAACTTTACTATTGTAGTATAATCAGATAATGTAACATCTACAGTATTGCTGCTTATATTAACTATAGAATTACAACCTATAATAACTGAATCTTTTATTTGAGAAATGTTTCTGCTTATCAATTATGTATAAAGGTTAAGCAATAGCTTTATATATGTAATATTGGATTGAGCTGCAGGGAGTCAAACAGATAATAGATTTAACTGGTTGAATGCTTCTTAAGCTATCAGCTATACAGGAAAATTTGATCATCTGTAAAATAGTATATTCTTTTAGGAAATCATGAAGATTTGAAGTTTTAGAAAATAAATATATACATGGTATAATATGTATTCCAGTTACAAAAAAGTTATTATTTACTAAGGTTTGAGTTTTTCTTGGCTTATGAAAATAACTGGGGATTCTATCAAATATATTTTCTACTTTTAAATATATTTTTAAAAAACTAATCTTTTTGCTGCAAGTTCTTCAGAAAATGCATGCCTGGTGAATAGTAATTTCATTGTGTTTAATTGGACAAAATCAGAATTCCAAACCCCAAAGGAGAAGAAAATAACTTTTAAAAACATTTGTTATTCTGGGTCATTAAAGCATTGTTTCCATTAGGTAGCAGTTCTTGAGAATTGTAAAAATTAATAGTGTATTTTAAAAATACTTTATTGGCATGTTCCTCTAAATACTCATTTAATTTTCATGGTTAATTGTGCCTTCTTTGTAACATAAATTATTGAATTAAGTGTCTATTTAGAAATTTTTAATTTTCTCTTCCTTTCATTTTCTTTAATTCTTTAATTTATACAATACATGCACTAAAGATTTAAAAACATTCTCATATAGTGATTGATATTGAGCAGAAGTTTTAGAAGAAGCTCATAACAATTAGTTTAACTGACAGATTTTTCTTCTCTCTTTTTCCTTTGAAAGTAATATATTTTATTTAATATATTTAAATTAGATCATGAGAAGTGTGAAACTTTACTTGGTGAAAAATGGATATTTTCATATTTCAAATGTTTCTAGTGTAAAATGGTACCTGACTTCCAATCCTTAATCTAAAAAGAGATTAAGATGAATGGAGGAAGCCAGAAACTAAAACTGCCACTTCTTATTTTGGTTTTTATTAACAGTACCTACTTTGCTAATCACTCTGCAAGCTCTAATAACATTGTGAGTGTACACTATAGATTTTTAGATCCAAAAAAATGTAAAGGCGTAGCCCTCAGCTACCAAGGAAAAAGGTTGCCCACACTCTTAATGTATCTATTTTTTCTCCACTGCAAGTCATCCATTGCACTTCATTCATCTCATGTCATCATTAGAAACTTGATTGAAGGAACGGTCACAGAATCCTAGTAGTATATTGTTTTATTAGCTTTGAATTCTACCCATTGTAGTTCTGTGAAATAATGCATTAGTTCACTTATTTCTTAATTTTGTATGAAACATGGACATACTTTTGGTCTAATAATTTCTTGCTAGTCACTGAAATAACTTCACAAAAATGTACTCTTTTTTTAGAGATGAGATATTGGACATGTTGTTTCCAATGTTGCTATTATTTGTTCCATCTCAAAAATGTTTCTTTGATTTGCTCTTAGATCATAAACAAAGATTGCATCATTATTTGAAAATTAGCCCGATTGAACAGAATGGACTTAACAATTTCCACGTAAATAAAGGATTCCAATATCATAAACAACAGAACATTATTATAGGCACACTGATGTTGGATTAGGCCACTTGCATTTAATTTGATGACTATAATGAAAATGCTATTTAATATTAGCAAACTATTCCCTATGTTATTCCTACTTTCTATCCTTCCCCATTTCACATGATTGGAGCTCTCTTCTTATGTACTCTTAGTTGAAGCAATCTCTGACAGTGACTTCTGCTACCATCGGCTTATTTTCTAGATGGGAAGTGATGGAGTTTTGCGCCTCAGTAGTTCCGCTCTAAATAATGAATTCTTTGCATATGCAGCACAAGGGTGGAAACAGCGATTGGCAGAAGGTAATTTTCTACTTGTTACTAGATTTAACCAATAGTGTTTTTCCCTCCATAAAGAGATCCCGTCTTGTATCACAGCAAGGAAACATACATTTCAATACTTTAAATATTTTATTCTCTCTCAACCTAAATGTATCTTACACAGTTGTGGGGAAAAATTGGGAACAGGGTGCTATAGCACTGCCTTGAGCTCCTGGAGGAAAGGCGGGATAGAAAACTAAGCAATGAAATTGATAATATATAAAGTGGCAAGATTTCAAAACTATGTACACTAGATCATCTTCCAATTGTATTAAGCACGTCTGTCTCACAATAGATTATCATTGGGTACTTTCACTTAAAATATGAACAAGCATTTTCATCAGTGTCAGCTTTGGAAACCTAAATGCATGTGACTAAATCCCACCAATACACTCTAGAAATACTAAAAACAGCACTACAAGTACTATTTTAGCATAGGTTTCTCGCAAATAAATTTTGGATTGAGTTTTGAAGCTTGGATTCAAATTTTGGATTGAATATTGAACCACTCTTTGCAATAGGGGAGAACTTCAACCGTCCATGGTGGCATTTCAAGCAGCAGCTAGCAGAATACAGGAACTGCATGATGTTTAGGAAAGCAATGTTGATGTGCAAAAAATCTTTGACATTTGTCCAAGTTTTGAAACCTTAGAGCACAGTTGGCCAAGCAATTTTAGCACGGCATTTGTATAAAGGGTCTCCTGCAGAAATTCCTGCACTACACAAAACTCAGTTGCACCCCTAGTTCATTCTTTGGAACTTCCATTTCTTGTATCTTTTAGGAGAATTTACACCTGAGATGCAGTTGCGCATCAGGCAAGAAATTGAAAAGGAAAAGAAAACAGAACCCTGGAAAGAGAAGTTCTTTGAAAGATTTTATGGAGAAAAGTAAGTATTAAAGAGAAAAAAATGTCCTCCAATATGTAACAATGTGCATAGCTATTAAAATATACATTTCCCTTTCATGAACTCCAACTTTTCGTTTTAAAAAAATTACCTAATAAATTTGCCAATTATTTTAGTTCCTATTGCCATTGCTAAAGCTTCCTTGGATTTATTTTTTCAATTTCTCAACCTCCTATTTTAAACACTAAAAGTAATCTACAGTTTCATCAAAACCTTCCCCAACTATATTAAACACAGATGTATTAAATTTAAATATAGACAATATAATACAGATTGAATATGAATAGGTAAAACCCATACTTTTTAACCTTCAAATTTCAGAAGGAATCATAGGTAATAAAATTAGTTAAATGTAATCACAAAAATTATTTTAGTACTTGTTTTTCCTCCATAATATCCTTTACTAGGGCATTTACTTGAGTGAATAAAAACAATGTATGTTTGTGTATTATATTGTATAGAAATGCATATTGTATTACATTTTACAGAAATACAAAAAACAACAGTGGAAGAATATTGAAAAAAAGTATTAAGCTATTATACAGACAGACATTCAATATTAAATGTTTAATATTTTAAGCAGATGAAATTATTTTCTAATCAGAAAAAGAACAGTTACATTAGACATGTCATATTCTCAAATTCACTGCAGGCAATTACATACATTATACTAACAAATTGTATTCATTTTAGTTCCTTTATACAGGTAATCCTTAACTTACAACTAGTCACTTAACAAATTTTGGAAGTTACAATGAACCTGTCCAGATCTATTTACAGTTCACTTTCAAAGTTCTGACAGCCAAAGGCCCGTGGTCATTTGGAGCACTTGACAACTGGCCACATTTACAGCCGTTTGCAGCATCCTGTGATTAGATGACCACAATTTATAATTTTTTTTTACTGGAAACCTGTATTCACTTCTGGTTTCCAGTAAAATACATCCATTGGGTACAGTGGGGTTACGTAATGATTGCTTGTTTGCTTAATGACCATGGTGTTTGTTTAATAACTGCAGCATTCACTTAAGAACTGCTGCCCAAAATGTTGTAAAATCGGATGCAGTCACATAGGGACCCACTGAACAGTTGCCATAACTTTTATTAACCTAATTTTGGGCTCAGTTGCAGTCATATATTGATGATTACCAGTTTATAATTTTATTTTTGAAGAAAATATTTAAAAGCTTTCAAAAGTAGTTCTATCTCAAAGGGTTTTTTTGTTATGAATATTATATATAGGATTGACTACATCATTGCAATAATAACAGTATTTCTGCAAATAATAATCATATGTGTTTTATCCTTTCATAGACAAAGAGATTTCATAATTCTGAAATGAAAAATATTTTTCCTATCCCTTTTTTAAAAAAAAACACACACATGCATCCAGGTTAATGCGAACACTTTTGCAAGATAATTTCCCACTTCAGAGTTTGGAAACCCATGCAGACATTTTTTTTTCAGAAAGAATATCAGTTCTACTTTTCCAAAATAACTGTCTCCAATCTCTTTCTCAAATGGCTCAATGACCCTGATTTTATTCATTTTTGACACACTAGTACTTAAAATATGTGTAGAGATTACAGGGTCTGTACTACCAAAAGCTTTACCAATTTTACATAGTGTTTTCTCATTCTAAGAAAAATAAGTCTATTGTGGTTCTTCTTGTTTAATCCATCTTTTATCTCATGTGGTCTTCTCCTATTATCCCTAGTATGAATGGGAGCAGTTGGGGCTGATTGGAATTGTAGTTTGACTCATCTGAAGAGCATTAAATTAATATATAAATATTTTCAAGAAAATTATACACACCACGAGATCACCTTTCCCTCATAACAAATCCAAACATCACATATTATATCAGACAGTGTAATTCCTTTAATGCAGGCGTATCAATCTGCCAGCCCATGGGCCGGGTGCATCATAGCGAAACCCTGCCCACCCCATTGCTGGCAATGGCAAAAAAAGTCGCAATATGTCGCAACATGTCATGTAACGTTGCAAGTTTGACACCTCTGCCTTAATGGCATGTCATTAAAGACTCCCTCAGACCTAAAAAATATTATGTACCCTGAGTGCTATATTTATAGTGACAGAATAGTTAGATAAGATAAAAATATTTTCTATCAGTAAGCTGAAATAAAAAAAACCACCAGTGAAGGAAGTTAAAAAACAAAATTTGAGCCCTTTTTCCTCTTTGGAGATTTATAATACCTTCATGGCATCCTACAGCCATCATGGAGGTGATATAGAATCTGTCCTCATTACTGTCATTTTGGTACAATAATGGTTGGATAACTCTAGAATATGCTACAAACTGCTAGTGGAGAAATGGCCAGAGATGACAGGCTTTTAACACATTCTCCAGTCCACTGATAGATTTTCTATGATATCACTGAAGGCTGGATACCAGGGCAAGCACAGTAATTTTCTGTATGTAACCATGTGATGTCTCTTTGCCCTGGCTTTAGTTGAGTATAAATCACTGTGGAATGAAACCCTAATGCTAACCTGTAAGTAAATGTCAAAAAAATGTTTTTATATAAGCACATTTAAAAATTATTTTATTAGTTAAATATACTTTTTGTAGATCAGGAATTTGGTATATTTGATTCCTTTAGAGACTATATGTTTATAGCATAGAATGAAACTCTATAGCTGTTTTTCTGACGTATGTTTATTGAAATATGGTTATGTAATTTAACTGTGATCTCTGATTAGGTTGGGGATGTCAGTGGAAGACTCTAGGAAGCTTACATCAGTACCAAATAATGAAGATGATAATAAATCCCTCTCTGGTTCTTCGGATTTGCCTGGTCCTTCAAGAGAGCCCTCTTTTGATGATCATGAAGAAAAGAGCAACCAGTCACCACTCTTGCCAGAGAGAGATTTCTGTCAGACCCTTTGCAACATGGAGCATGTTCCTGCCAAGGATCTAATGGCAGAAACAGAAGACATTTTGATTCCAGAGGAATCCATTATTCAAGAAGAGATTGCTGAGGAAGTTGAGACAAGTATTTGTGAATGTCAGGAAGAGAACCAAAAAGAACATGTGAATTCAGAACAACCAGTTAGTCCAGTTGGTACAAATGAAGAAACAGATCCTTTACCACTTACAGGGAATTCTGAATCATTTATTGTGATGAATGATGTATTAAGTCCATTATCTCATGTTGAAATTAAAGAAGAGGAAAGATTGGAATATCCCCAGGAAGAAATGCCAGTCATAACAAATCAGATAGAAAGCAGTTTATCACCTTCACAATCTGCTTCTTCCTCAAATTCTGTTAGTAATGTGGAAGAAAAAGATTTGGAATCCATAAAAGAACTTAGTCCTCATGGAAAATATTCCCCTGTCCTTAATGGTTCCTTATTCACTGGCGGAGGTGTTGCAGTACATATGGAATTGCAGAGTAACCCTGATGAACTGTTATCTGAAAATGCCTGTATTTCTGAAACATCTTTTTCTGCTGAAAGCCCAGAAGAACCATCTGCCAGTTTTGCATCTCCTGGAGGTGACACCCAGTCTACTTCAGAGGAACCTTCTACACCAGTGTCTCTTGAAACTGTGTGCTCATCAGACATGTCTTGCACTGAAACCACTGAAACTGATACTCAACAAAAATCTGTTGATGATAATCTGAATACATCTTTAATTTCTGAAATATCTCCACTGCCAGCCTCACCTGTAACATCAGAAGCATCTCTGTTGTCAAATTTGCCCCTAACTTCAGAGGCATCACCAGCTTCTAATTTACCTTTACCATCAGAAACTTCCCCAATGTCTGATTTGCCCTTGACATCTGAAACTTCTTCAGTGTCTTCTGTTCTTTTAGCTTCTGAAACATCTCATTCAAATAGTTTACTATTACCTTCAGAAGCATCTCCACTTTCAAATTCGCCAGTGAGTGAAAGATTTATTCAGCAAAGAAAATCGTTGTGTTTGTCTGAAGAATCCTTGTCACCTCTGAAAGAAGAAATCTGTGGCATTCCTAATATTCCACAAGAAGATAATATTCCATTACAACAAAATTCATTTCAAGGTGTACCTGATGCTATGAAAGCTGCCATATCTGAACCTTCAATAACAGAAGGATCCCAGTCCAGAAATCTTACTAATCAAACCTGTAGGTCTCAAACTGAAATAGAGAACCGTTTCATTTCTCCTCTTGCAGAAAGCTCTTCTCCAGAAGGGATAAAAATGAGAAATCATGGTAGCCAGCAAGGATCTGAAAATAAAAGTGCAATCTCTCAACTGGAAGTATCTGTCTTAACAGAAGTAGCAGAATGCAAAAATATTGAATCTCTTCCATCTAAGTCCCATGCTAAGTTATATACCTCAACATCATCTTTAGAAATTGGCAGAAATAAGTCTCATAAACTTCAAGGGACTGTTCAGAATCGGTTTGAAAGTTCCTATTCTTCAAAATCAAGTGAAGTTACCAAGTCACATGAAGTAAGAAATGAAAGCAGGGACCTGGAGATTCCAAAGAGGAAAACAGCTGAACATCACAGTTTTGGAATCTGTAGAGAGAAGAGGGCTAGAATTGAAGATGATCAGATCCATCGTAATTCATCAACAAATTCATCTGAAAGAGAGCCACCACCTAGAGAAGAGCCCAGAGTCCCGCCCTTAAAGGTAAATTGAAATAGACCTTTAGAAACTTACTTATTACCTGGACTATATTTTAGTTAAATCAAGAAACACTGGAAGCTGTTTCCATAAGCAATTTCCACAAATAATTACTAATTTTTGCCAGCAAAATCATTTCATTGTTCCTTGCAGGGTGCCAATAAATAGATTTCCTTATAACATCCTCAGTTGATATCATGTCACCATTATGAAATACTATATTTTATAAAAGTGATTTTCCACCCTCAGGAACACAGCATTAGAAATTGTCAATAATACTTCGCAAATGTTTGTTTGTCATTGAGCAACGCATTAATGAAGAAGGAAAATTGTTCACTGTAACATTTGTAAAATCATAAACTGTGTCTTTCATGCCTCTGGTTCTTAAGATGCATTATATTATGCAATGAAAATAATAGAATCACTGAGAGAAATCATATGAGACATGAAAGAGTGCTATCCTCAGGGCTTTGTGGAGTTTTGTCAGTTACTTAGATAGTCAGACATACAAATTTTGTAGAAGAGTATGAACAATAAACATTACATTCTTGCTTTATTTCCTTTAGTTAGTCACAGATATACATAGTTCCTTGTTACAGAGCTCCACAGAAGTGGTGTTCATTCAAATGCTACCAACAGTTGGGTTAAGATAGATAGTTAAATTCTGATTTATTAAATTATAACCATGACTAGAAACAAAAAGTACCTCTGAAAATAATTGGGAATGCTTTTCTGGCTTCTAATTTTGCAAAACCTATAGAAAACCCAGTGAAATCTTTTTTTCAAATACCTAGATTCTGAATACGTCATTGAAAATCAGAAAATATGATTGTGAAAAGCAAACTATATAGAAAGAGACATGCAGCATAAATAGATGTGCTAGAGAATATTAAAAGACCCCGAAACTGAACTCATTATTTCCTCCAGTTCATAACGCAATATATTAATGGGGGGTGTGTGTCTCTGTGTGTGTAATAATAGGTAGACTATTAAAAACTTACTTGTGCTAAATAAATTTTTCTACCATCATATGGTAAAGACGTTCACTGCAAATTATGATTTCCTAATACGGTTTTCATATATTCTCTTTTCCCATTCAGATTCAGCTCTCAAAAATTGGCCCACCTTTCATCATCAAGAGCCAGCCAGTCTCCAAACCAGAACCTAAGGCTACTCCAAGTACCTCTGTGAGCAGTGGGAGAAACACGGGGGCCAGAACTCTTGCAGATATCAAAGCGAGAGCCCAGCAAGCCAGAGCTCAGAGGGAAGCAGCAGCAGCTGCTGCAGTTGCTGCAGCCGCAAGCATTGTTTCTGGAGGGCTAGGGAGCCCCTGTGAAGGTGGGAAGACCCGAACATTGGCTCACATCAAGGAGCAAACAAAGGCCAAGTTGTTTGCAAAGCACCAAGCAAGAGCCCACTTGCTCCAGAACAACAAGGAAAGCAAGTCTCAGCAGGCCTTGAAAGAAGCGCCATCAGTTGTGGAGATCTCTATGGCTTCGGAAACAAAGATTGAAGGATCTACTGGTGTAATTATAGTTAATCCTAACTGTCGGTCTCCTAGCAACAAATCTGTTCACCTTCGTGAAGCTACTGCTTTGCTGCAGCACTCTCTTAATGCCACTACTTTGCCAGAAACTAGCACTGATATCCCTGTTCAAAATTCTGATGAAAGCATATCTGTGCCTCATTTTTGTGAGAAAATGCTATCTTCTACCTCTCCAGAAAGTATTTCAGTCCTATATAACAAAAACTCAGCTCCTGGTTCTGTGTGTAGCACTGCTAAGTCGGGAACAATTAAGGAACTTTCTTTTGCAGGTGCAGTTGATAAGCCCTCTGTTTTAATGTCTGTTGAAAGTACAGATGCAAAGACTAGCAATATAACTATGCTGAAATCCGTCCAAGGGGCTGACATGCCATGCGTTACTATTGTGCCAAAATGTCATGAAAACTCCGGTCCTCCAGCCACAGCCAACACTACTGTCTTGTCAGATTCCTTAGAGGAGAAAATATTACCAATGCCAAGTAGCAATGCAACTAGTGCAATTTCAAGTCAGTATACCACTGTGCCAACTTCATCTATTGCAAGTAATTTATCAGATCACCTGTCTGGCAGCTCTGTTTTGATTCCTCCAGGGGGATCTATAAGTAGATATCCTTCGGATAAGATATCCCTAACTGGATGCAGTGACCCAAGTGCTTTGTCAAACAACATCTCTGTTAGGGCAGCTTTACATGGAAATGAGGCACTTTCAGTAGGAGATTCCATTGGCAGGACTTCCATTTCTATATTTGCCAGCAGCATGATGACTGTAAATTCTTATGATAATTCCACCAAACTTAGTGCTGATGGCATAGAAAGAAATTTGGGGATGAGAAGCCATTTAGATATGCCTGGTAAACCTTCAGTAGGATACATACAGGCACCTGCAAATAGATCCATTCCTTGTAAAGTCATTGTTGACCACACAATGACAACAATGAATTCAAACCTGTCTCTGGGTCTTTCCAGTGAAAGTGCAGAAAGTAGCATGGAAATGCAGAACAGGCCGATTAGGACTGAACCTGCTTTACAAAACATAACATGTCCGCAAGTATCCGTCATAAGTAGGCCAGAGCTACTTAGTCATGAAAATTTGGAGCCCAGCTCTGGTTTTAACAATGGTCCAACCAAGCCAGATGGCAAGCATTTACAAGCAGCGTGTACTGCTCTTCGAGAAGTGCCTCTTGGGCCTCAAGATAAGCAGTTGGATGTTGTTCCTTCTACCCAAGGTTTTTCAGAACAGTTTCAAGATCCTTTAACTTTCAAGAGGGAAGCAGAAAGTATCTGTACCAACCCATATAATCCTAACAGCCGAATCTGTTGGAATGACAATGAGGCAATGAATACTGAGCAGTCTTTGGTCAGTCGGCCTAATCCAAGTAAGCATAAGGAATATTCAGAAAATAACTGTTTAAAAAATGTGAAAACAGAGCCTTCAGGTTTGATACATCTGCATGAGATGCATACAAGAAATGTTGTGACAAGCATAGCCTTGCCTGTTAAGTCAGAAGGAAATGAATCTGACAAATGCTTTAGGATGGATACAGAATATTTTGTAAGACCTGAAATGCCTGTGCAAACTGCAGAAATAGCCCCAGGTTCACAGCCAGCTCAGAACTCTAAGAGATCCGTAACCAATTCCATGGAGCACTCTTTGGCACTGACAACAGAGACGCTGAAAAGAGTTTCAACTGCTGGAACCTCAAGTTGCCGCTTGTCATCAGTAGAAGCCAATAATCCTCTAGTGACCCAGTTACTGCAAGGCAACTTGCCATTGGAAAAAGTATTGCCACAGCCCAGGTTAGGGGCCAAACTAGAAATCAGTCGGCTTCCTTTGCCTTTGCAAACTACCTCCAGGTGTAAATCAGCCACATCCGAACGAAATACAATTGAAAATCCTTCCAGCTCCCCAAATGCAGATGGGAGAGATTTTACAGCCACAAATATACTCCCGCTGCAAATCCGCAAACGTGAAAATCATCCCAAAAAGAGAGTAGCCAGGACAGCTGGGGAAATTAAATGTGAGCCTGGGAAGTCTTCAGTGGATTCAGATATTAAAGTGGCTCCTTGTATAATCACTTCTAGCATGAATCAACTTGGACATGGTCAGCTATTTAAACAGGAGTGGCCAAGCAAGCACACCATTCAAAGCAGAATAGCTCACAGTCCAGAGATCAAGCAGCAGAAAAGGCCATTGCCCTCATGCAGTTTCCAGAAGAACTTATTTAGTGTAGAGAAAAATGGCAGCTTCCACACCGAAGTGAGTTCTTCCCATCAGCCGCATTTCTACCAAATGCCAATGGCTGCCCGAGGCCCTGTTAGTACAGCCACTTTGATGCAGGCAACTTTAAAAGCCCCATCTGGCTGCGGTTCCTTTGCTTTCAGCAGGCACCTTGAGCAGAAGGCCCTGGGAGAGGCCAATATGTCTACAGCACCTCACCAGCTGAGACTGGCAACTGTTTTTTCCCCAAACGTTCAAATTAAAGAAAGTGATGACATCCCCAGTGCCTCGCAAACTCTGCAGAATAAATCATTAGTGCATCCCCCACCCCCTCCCCCCCCTCCCCCTCCCAATGCAGAAGCTCCATCTGATCACAAACAACCAGGAGTTACTATGGAAACCACCAAAAGACTTAGTTGGCCTCAGCCGGCAAATGTCTGTAGCAATATAAAATCAGAACCTGTTTCTTTGGAGGAAGGCTTAAACAGCAGCTGTGAGCTAGGCATGAAACAAGCTTCCTACGATCAGAATGAAGTCAAAGAACAGTTGAAAGCTTTTGCATTGAAAAATGCTGACTTCCCTTCCTATTTACTTTCAGAATCACAGAAGCCTTTTGCCCCATTAGCTGCTCCAAAAATACAGGTGCAGCAGCAGCAGCGTGGAAATTACCCTACAATACACTTTGGTAGCACAAGTTTCAAAAGGGCAACCTCTGCCATTGAAAAATCTATTGGGATTTTAGGGAGTAATTCAACTACAAGCCTACCTATTCAAAATGCCCAAATCCCAGTTCAGAAATTTGCTGACAGCAGCAGTGCAGATGAGTTGGAACTGAAATGTTCTTGCAGGCTGAAAGCCATGATAGTATGCAAGGGCTGTGGCGCCTTCTGCCATGATGACTGCATAGGTCCTTCCAAATTGTGTGTAGCTTGTTTAGTTGTTCGATAGAATCCAAAGCACATTGCTTGTTAACACAGGAAAGCAAAAGAAAAGAATAACTGGAATTCTGTAGGCCATATTGTATATGGATAAAAAAAGTTGCCTAGGGATGCTTTGGAATGGAGTGATTTTGGCTTGCATGGCTCTCCCTGGTAATTCCCCTTTAAGAAGTGTCCAGCATTCTTATTGTCTTAAAATACAGCATTGTTCATGTCTTAGTGCATAATTTTATTTTTACCATTTACTGTATAAGTTGATCTTCCCAATGAAAAGAATGACAAATTGCTCAATGTCCATGTTTCTGTACATGAAAGAGCACATGAATGTGGCACAGCCATAGCCCATGAAGAAAAGAAAAAGATCAAAAAGAATGAAAGTCAGGTTCCCTTAGCACACAGGTGTCAAACTCGATCACATCACATGATATATTGTGACATATCGTGATGTTTTTTGCCTTTAGGAGGCCGGGATGGGCATGGCCTACGCGTGACACATCAAGCCCACAGGCTGCCAGTTTGACACCCGTGTCTTAGCAGAACATCATTGCAATGGCCATTTGGCAGGTTTTGCACACCTGGAGCCAAGATTGCCTGCAGTGATTGACTTTGATCCATTGGCAGCTAATGTGGGTAATTTGATCCCTTTTATAAGAAGCTGTTATACTGAAGTAGATTATAATTAAACCAGGCAACAGATAAGTTTTAATAAACTAGAATCTTCATGGCTTTAGAAGTTCAGGGGATGGGAAATAAGTACAGCTATTGTAATAGAATTTATTAATTCATTTATCTTCCTCAAGTTTCACTTATAATTTTGTCCTAAAAAGATATTTAACATATATTCATAGTATGTACCATTTTATATCTAAATACGGATGTTTTAAAAAGTGATACCATTTTCAAAGTGATTCTTTGTTTTTGTAGATTCAAAAGAGCAAAGCAATTATATGATTTATAGTCCTTTTAAATATGTTTACAACTTGGGATATTTTAAAGTAACTTTTATTTTAAAACTTTTTTGTCTGTTAACCCAGCTTACCCCACAAATATTGTATAGCCTTGTAGAGGAATGAAGAGATTTTAAAGGGATACTAAATCTTACTCTCAATATTGTATTTACTAGTAGTTTAAGTTAGTTATATACAAAATATGTAGCCACCAAATTATTTGGGAAAAACTATAGTAATTGCTAAGTTCTTTTTACTGATAAGGAAAGTATTGTAAAGGGTTAAAAATATGGAACTTAACAAGAGGAGATGCATGGTTATCTTAAAAGTGAGGGAATGAACATAAAATGTAAAAGGGAAGCAACTTGCATGCTATCACATGAATTTAATCACCAGAACTTAATAAATGTTAGAGAAAGATATCCTGCTTACCCACACAGTAGATCCTTACTAACTTCATGCCTGGTAATCCATTCACAAAACAGCTATTTTCCCCCACCCCTTGTTTAAGGCTTTTAATAGCAAGATGCTGCAAAAAAGGCAAGTAGTTCTTATTTGAAACAAGCAATTTGACATTTATTTTATATTCTCAAGTGTTAACATAATGAGGATTTTAAAAATAAGTATAACATTAAAATATACTTTAGGGTATTATATGTATTTTATCCTCTCTTATTTTAAACAATATGTAAGACTTCCAGGCATTTCTAATTATTAGTAAAGCTCTACTGTTTGGACATTACACTTTTGTGGGACCATATTAAAAATGAAATTCATTTTCTTCTTTTCTTTAATGAGCTGGAATAAGCAGGTTTACATTCCCTTATTCAGAGATCTTGTGACTTGACTGGATTGGATTCCTGTTCTGTTTTCATAGCAGACGTAGTAACAGTAGTCTTGATCTTCTATGGTATAAGCAAATTTACACCACTAAAAAATTGCCTTACTAAAGCACTCATTTTAGAAGATTTATGCATATTTCAGCACTTTCAGGTACCCGTGGAGAGATTATTTTCAAAATATAGATTTAAAAGGCACGTTTTTGTAAAGTTCCAAATAAATGGATGTATTGTTAAAGATACATTTGTCTCCATATTAGCAAAATTCAAGAAGATCTTTTTGGTACAATAATTAAATATAGCAAGTGAAATTCCAGATTCAGTAATTGTGAACAGTTTTTTAGATTGTCTTTTATCAGTCCTAAAAAAGTGGTAGCTCCTATAGCATGCCATAGGACATTTGAGCACAATTCAGAGAAAGTTAAGCACTTATAGTCACAATCTTAGGCATTCTGGCCTGCATTGAATATCATAAACATGCATGGGATTTGTCTGCAAGCATCTTAGTCTGGAATGAAAATTTGGAGTGCCTGGGTGTCTCCAGATTATATCATTTGTTTATCTGTGGTGTGGCTAACGTAGCATTAAAACTTTCTGTTTGAACTATTGGAGTAAGGGGAGGACCGGAAACTAGATGTTCCTGAATCTCAGCACTTACTTGATAACGGCGCTCACATTCTTCCTTGAGCCATATTCCAAACAGTGTTTTCTCCCAGGCTCAGTTTACTGACCTCTGATAGTAGATATAATCTTAGATGGGAAAATGTGATGCCTCATGTATACGCAGTTATGTTTGACTGATAAACAGCAGGCAAAAGAAGCCTTAGAATTACTTTGTGTACCTATTTTGCAATTTAATATCTCCATCTATATACAGGTATTCCTCAACTTATGACTACAGCAGAGCCCCAAATTTCTGTTGCTAAGCAAAACAGTTGTTAAGTGAATTTTGTCCCATTTTACAACCTTTCTTGCCACAGTTGTTAAGTGAATCACTGCAGTTGTTAAGTTAGTAATTCAGTTGTTAAGTGAATCTGATTTCCCCATTGACTTTGCTTGTCAGAAGGTTGCAAAAGATGATCACATGACCCCAGGACAATGCAACCGTCATAAATATGAGTCAGTTGCCAAGCATCGGAATTTTGATCATGTGATCACAGGGATGCTGCAATAGTCGTGTGAAAAATGGTCATAAATCACTATTTTCAGAGCCATTGTAGATTCAAATTGTCACTAAACGAACTGTTGTAAGTCAAGGATTACCTGTATAGATATAGCCCTTCCCATATATTTTTTTTAAGACTCAGATCTACCACTATTAAATGTAAACCTAGGTCAACTTTGGCAAATGATTGAAAAAGTAGCTCTTTTCACAATGGGCATATGCCACCATATATTAGAATGGCGTGCTTATAGATTATTAATATAGCATTGAAGAAAAGGCATTTGGCAAAGGATGTTAAATATTATTACATATCTCTCAACATTTTTCCACTGTAAATCTTAAGTCTTTATTTTTCAGTGTTCGGTCTGAAAATAATTTGATTTGCTATTTAGAAATGCCTGATGGTGGCAGTAGTGGCTTATAGTATTTGTTACCTGGAAGAAAACAAGTATTATATTAATTTTGCATGTTCTTGTCTCCTCTCATTTTTGCCCAAATATTAGTACTATGTCAGTATTCTACAAGATTGTCTTGTGGATGTTTTTGACATGTATTTCTTTATCTATGGAATGGGCAAAGGTGTTTTATCCATGTGTAATTAGGGAATTCTTACACCAGCTTTCTCTCTATTTTGGTTGTGTGTATGATTCATTGTCTGTGTGCATGTGTGTGTGTGTGTGTGTGTGTGTGTGTAAGTGTGTTTATATATATGTTCATACTCATCTGCGAATTAAGTGGCTACAATAAAAAGAAAAAGATATGCATTCATCTTCATGTGGTTTATATATAATGTAACAGATTTAAAAATAGTATGGTCCTTTGAAATAGTGTAAGGCAGTAGATAGGGTATTAGACAGAATACTGTGGGAAAGTGTGGAGTTGTTTTAAGGAGAAAAGAGATCATTAGCAAAGGAACAACTATATGCAATGTCTAATCTCCATAGGAAGCTGGCACTGTAATACAATGTTAGGTTGTGTGAAAAGGCGCTGTAACTTTATAGGAAGAGGTTCATGGAAACAGCTTTTCATTCATATCTTGAAAAAATTACAGCATGCATTTTCTGTTTTAAATACTTTCAGAAGTATTTTTCCTTGGGGAAGATAGATATATCAGCTCAAAGAACAGAGTCGCATACACTAGGGCTATGTATGAAATGGTGAGTTTAACAAGTGTTAGGGCTGTGAGGCAGGTATCTGTGAAATACCTACCATCCAATTTTCTACTTGTATGTTTCATCTCTGATTACAGCTATTATTTCCATTATCTGTTGAAGTGCATTTTCTAATTTGAAAGGATGTGCATGATCCTAACCAGTCAGGAATATAGAGAACACATTTGGGTCCCGGTGCAAGGTAGCTAGTCAAGTTTAGCTACTCGATGTTTCCATTTAAGCAAACAAAGCTGCCTACTGGCTTTCAATGGAGACGCCTCCTGGCAGTTGGGTCAATGTGTTGTCTCTTGCAGTTAATACGTCTAGTTAGCTCCCTGAAAATATTGCAGTAATAGCTGTCTGCTTGATGCTTTTTTGTGTGTGCCTTTGAGTCAGTCTTGACTCCTGGTGACTGCCTGAACAAGTCCCTGCAATTTTCTTTGCAAGATTGTTTGCCCTTGTCTTCTTCCTAGGCTGAGAGTGCATGACTGGCCTAAAGTCACCCAGCTAGCTTTGTGCCCAAGGTGGGGTTAGAACATGGTGCATTTTAGGAAGATCTTAACAAAGATATTCACCTTTCCAGGACGTTAATGACAATTGTCATTTTTTGTCATGGGGACCTCGGTATTTCTTCTAACAAAAATGTAAGGTGTTATCATAATATTCACATCACAAATATTGGAAAAAGGATAACCCAAGCCAAGTTGTCATTCATTGCAAAGGATGTGCATATGAAACTTTTAATAAAACATTTCTCACATTCCCTCTTTACCCTTTATACAGAAAATGTTTAGTTGTATATGTTAATTTAAAGAAAAAAGAATAACATAATATGGATATGAAATAAGACTGCACACAAAATATAAAAACAAGCTAGCACAAAAAAAATCATTGTACATCCATATTCATGCAGCTCTTTTAAGAATTTTTCCCTTTTGTTTTTAAACATTTTTCTTTTTAGCAAGATAATATATCATCATCAACTTTTTTTTATTAACACTGTTAAAGCTCTGTACATACTGTTGGGACATTTTCCATGTGGATTTTGTCTTTTGCAAAATGTTTTTATGTGAAAATCCCTTACTTTATTGAAATAATAATGTAAAAAATTGAAGTTGGCACTCCCAATTTTGTATTCCACTTATCCTCTATGATCTAGTGCATGAAACTAATCTGGTTTGGGGAGGGAAAGGTTGAGCCATAAAGCAAAAATGTATCCTATAGAGTATCTTTCAAAGTGGTATGTGTTATCAGGATGAATTACTGAATTCTCTTTTCAGGACCATAGAATTTCTTGCTCAGTTTCTTCTGAACTGGTGCAGATGGTGCTTTATAATGCAGTTTCTAAAGAGAAATGTTCATATGCTGCAGACCTTACAAACACGCACACAATTTCAGAGAAGTTGTTCTAGTCTCTGGTTTTGCATAATATTTTGAAGGCCAAGGACCAGCACTCAGGAGGAGATCAGAAACCCCATCTAGCAGGATCATCTTAGCTTCCATGTGGGAAGACTTATTAAGCACTGATTTCCTGTGGGTGACAGCAGGAATCCTGTGCAACATTAAGGAGAAGACCTGTTGGCAAATAAGCCTGGACCTTTGTGGCTAAATGTTTCTGAATTGAAGGGGAAGTCCTGCTGTCTTCAATCATCATGCTTTGTCATTGTAAAACCAACAAAATAGTATTTTTTGCCTAATTTAAAGGAGCTGCTTTTTTTATAGCACATATTTCGCTTTGTACTATATTTGATAGTTTCAAGATAATTTAGCCTGTAGAACACTTTTGTCTTTGTATTGTTCATGAATGTTACAAGAAAAGTGCTTTACTTTGTTGCCATAATTCTCTTATACTGCTGTAAAGTGGTCGTTTTTGTTTTGTTTTGTTTTTGTTACTGTTTTCCAAACACCAGAATTGATCAGCATTTTTGGTACTGAGTTTTGTATGCTCTGATTATTATTATTTGTCAGTATTTTGAATGTTTACATCTCTTTGACACTAGCCATTCAATGCCTTTTTTAGGGAAGTATTTCTCATGCCCAGATTGAAGCAATGTGAAATCAACCCATATCTAGCATGCATGAGGAACATACATTTATGTATTCTTACCATAAATAGATATTTTTGTCCTTGGATAGAGAAACAAAAACTCCTCTCAATCCTCTACCAAAGAAATACACAAACATCCACACACGCATGAACATACACTTTGTGTTAAATTCTCAGAAAGGGGAAGAGTTGATTTCAGCGGCATTGCGGTGGTTATTATTCTTTATTACCTGAATAAATGTGACCAAGTGATTTTTTTTTCTTCTACAGTGTTTGATTTAGAATTCAGGGATCATGCTTCATCAGTGGTTCTGTCTGTCTTTTTTTTTTTAAGAAAATATTGTTTGCTTACCAAAATAATTGATCACAAAATTATAATACAAATGGAAAGTATTGTTCTGTTTACATGTTTGCCCCCCCCCACCAGTCCCTCGAAAATAACAATTTGGGCTTCAGTATCAAAATATTCTAAACAAAATAAAAACAAGAATAAACATTGGTTGGTGTATTATTCCCCCCCTTCTTTTAAATGTGCTAAAAGAAAATAAGGCATTCATTGAATATTTGAAATATGGTTATTCAGGGTGGAGAAAGCATGAATATATTTTAGTTGATAATTGTCTGCTCAGTTTATATGTAGCAAGGCTATTTTTTCTATTCTTTTTTTTTAATGTATGCACTTTTTTAAAAAATGTATGCACTAAATTAGAGATGGAAAATCTTTTGGTGCCCAAGTACCACATTTTATTGTTTCATTGGATGGAGACCACAAAGTAGATGGGGCATCATGACACATGTGGATGAGTGGGTTTGGAAGATATTTGGGTGTATTTTATTAATGATTAGTCTTTTTTTTAAAAAAAAAAAAAAACACTATTGAGTTTCTCTACTGCTGCTCCAAATCACCACAATTTACAAGGCAACAAATCATATGTCAGCCAATAATGCTGGACAATCTTATGTTCCCAAGGATACTATTACAATGACACTACTATAATCTGATTCCTCAAAGAATTTTTTTTTTTACTTCAGAAAGGTAAAAAGATCCCTTTACCTCTCTTTTTGTAGGCAAATATGGGAAGAAAATAGTTGAGAGTTTGACATGCAAAATGCTGAGAGAATCTACAGATTCTTTAAAGCTGTTTGAGCTCTCCACAACAAAAACTCTTAAATCAACTCTTGAGGTCACTGTGTTAAGGAATCTTTTTGTTTCTCTTGAGAATGCAAGAACTATTATTTTCACCCTGCTACAGTAGTCTTTTACTAGTAGTACTTCAGAAATATTAGATCTTCCTGACAGAATACTTGAAAGTTAGGATTGTTCCTAAGTTACATGCAAGACATATACAGTGAAGGCAATTTGGTTAAATGCACTTTGATTCTTCTCAGTTAATTTTGTTCCATACCAAAGTGAACTGTCAAATCACTAGTAATACCATAATGAGGATAAAAAGATGAACCGGGTGAACTTCTTTCTGTGTCATTATTAGGAAATGGCAAGGCCCAAGCATCTGGGAAAGGCCACAAGTTAGTATAAATTAACCAGGCCAGGCCAGGCCATGGAAGAAGGGGTGATTCTTAAGCCAGTTGCAGAGAATAATATTGGAAAA